AGCCATTAATAACAACACGACATATTTGTTGTCCTGCTTCAGAGTATGAATTACGTTATCAGATATACATACTGTATAAACTTGCCTAATGCTTTCTTTTAGTACTAGTGTTCCTATTTAGGATAAATCTGATGAAATTTCCTCAAATTGCTTATTAAATTTGCAGTTTCTCTTGGTGCTCAAGAGATGTTCAAGCTTCTTCCTCATACTTTTGTTGAACCAAGCAAACTACCAGAACTCTTCAGGAAGGTTAGTTCCATTTGAGCACTCTTTGTGTATGCTTAATATGGCATGTTTAATCAAAGGCTATTCTTATCTTTTATATTAGTTTTTACCCACCTTTGATACCGCTCTTATCGAAGTTTTACGATCACTCTCAGGGACGGAATGTTACATCAAAGAGGGTCTATCAGGTTTATGGTTGTATAGTGACTAGTCGGGACATGGTTGAGCACAAGGATCCTTCAAAAATGTTTGATAAAGTAATCCCTTCTCTCTATTCCCTGTTGTTCTTTCATTGAGACTAATCTATTTATCATATAATGCTAACTTTGGGTGTTCTTTTTCTCATTTTCTCATCAATTTCCAGGCAGAATATTATGCACATCCAGAGCATTACAATCCCATTTTCCATGAAAAAATAGCCCATATGCATCAGTAATTGGTAGGTGATGCTTTCTGCTGACAACATAAAGGCAAACACTGTCACTGAAATCTGCTCTTTTTGACAGTGAATTGCATGTTGGGAGAGAAGATTTCCTAGATTGTTGAGTACCAAACAGATTCAGAGCTAAAGAAGAAAGGGTGTCCACTTATTGGGATCTCTGATATAACATGTGATATAGGGGGCTCAATAGAGTTTGCAATCAAACCACATCAATTGACTACCTTTCTTCAGGTATTTCAATGCTAGTTTGAAAGTAGAGAAATCAGGATTTCTAGTTCACATTCACCCATGATGTTGATTCTGAAGCTGTGGATTATACGGTCAATCGTGCTTTTTCAGATATGATCCCTCGACCGATTCCTACCACAATGACATGGATGATGGGATAATATGTTCAGCTGTTGATATTCTTCCAACTGAGTTTGCAAAAGAGGTGCAATATCTCCCTTTCCATGGTTTTCCAACGTTTTATGGGTTTTTCAGGTTAATGTATATTAATCATGACATTTAACATGCCATTTTTAAATATGTCAAGGCTTCCAACACTTTGGAGACATTCTATCACAGTTTGTTGGTAGTTTAGCTGCTACAACAGATTTCGCTGAGTTACCTGCACATCTCAAGAGAGCTTGCATTGTCCATGGTGGGGCACTCACTTCCTTATATGAATATATCCTCGTATGAGAAAATCAAACACAGAGTAAGCAGTTAATTTCAATCTTCAATAATCCAAAACCATAAATACTTTTTTCATCTGTATATCATCTTGCTCGATTTGCAGAGATATACCCCATAATCTTTCCAATGGACACTTGAACAAGAAAATAAATACACTGTATTGGTAAGTATCTAAACAACAGTTGACCTTATATCCCTTAATCAGGACCGTTGACTGTAATTGTTGGTTGACAGGTATCATTGAGTGGCCACTTATTTGATCTGTAAATGAGGCTTGGATATAATTGAAGCAGCTGGTGGTTCATTTCAGTTGGTAAAGTGCCAAGTTGGTCAGAGTACGGATGCCATGTTATTCAGAACTTGAGGTAAGTATAATAATTAATGCTTTAGGTTATTTGTGGCTGTGGTTATGCCAGAGAACTAGTAGGTAGCCATTTTTAGTTTCAACTTTATTTGATTAATATATAAAAAAACATTTGAATTAGTATATTGTTTAAGTAAATTTTTATATTTATTAACCTTTATTCTTGGATTTACCCATGGTTGCGTGATCATATCAATTACGTACTTCACATATGGACATAATTTGTTTTTTTCTTAGATGAAGAGAATTTCAATTCATCAAGAATTCCTTGGCTGCATTCATTACAAGAAGCCGTGTGTTTTTTGTAGGTTGGTGCAGATGATGGTAAAGTTCTGGATCAGATCATTGATTCATTAACTTGCATAGCCAATCCAAGCGAAAACCATGGAATCCGGAATCAAGATGAATAAGATTTCCCTCACGGTTGGTAAGCTACAGGAAACTGGGATGAAGAAGGAATCCGACTCGAAAACGAAGACATCGGTTCTTATACTCGGTGCTGGTCGGGTCTGTCAACCAGCCTGCGAGTTTTTAGCATCTATCGGAACTGGTTCATCTCGCCAATGGTATAAAACGTGTCTCGGAAATGATTCGGAAGAGGAAATGGATGTTCATGTTATTGTTGCATCTCTGTACCTTAAAGATGCTGAAGAGGTCATAGTTTAGAGATCCCGATCCCGATTTTGCTCTTTTGCATTTCGAAGTTTATGTTCTGATGATATTGTGGATTTGCCAATTGCCAGATAATTCAAGGGATTCCGAATACAAAGGCTGTTGAGCTTGATGTTACTGATCATGGAGCTCTTTGTCAGTATATTTCGCAGGTAGTGTCTTGTGTTACTTTGATTGGTAAGCCTCTTGCTAAGTATGCTTCATTGTTTGCGAGGCCGAGATCATTCTTTCTGTGCCATTAACAGGTTGAGGTCGTTATCAGTTTGTTGCCAGCTAGTTGTCATGTTGCCGTGGCAAACGTGTGCATCGAGGTACTTTCTCGACCATAATTCGGCACATGAAAAATCATGAACACTAAATACCCAATTTTATTTTATCAAAACATCATCTCTTTATGCAGCTTAAAAAGCATCTTGTGACAGCAAGTTATGTCGACAACGCCATGTCAATGATGGAGGAAAAGGCCAAGAACGCTGGCATTACCATTCTTGGTGAAATGGGGTTGGATCCTGGAATCGGTAATCTTTCAGTCTATTCATGCTAGTATTTTACGTGGATACGAAGATATGACCATCCTAAGATCGACCCTATACATAAGAAAATGTAATGATGGATTAAACATGTTTTTCTGCTTTTCAGATCATATGATGGCAATGAAGATGATAAACCGAGCACATCTCAAAAGGGCAAAGTAAAGTCTTTTACTTCCTATTGTGGAGGGATCCCATCTCCAGCGGCTGCAAATAATCCATTTGCATATAAATTCAGGTGCATTTGGTTCAGCTTTGGAGTTAGAAGGCCACTAATTGCTTTCACATTGATATTACTCATATAAATTAAAGGAAATCACTAGAGTTTCATGTTTAGCACCTTAGTTAAATGTCAGTCCATTGGCCGTTCCTGACTGTATTGTTGGTTTTGTCAGTTGGAATCCAGCCGGAGCTATTCGATCGGGCAAAATCCTGCCACATTCAAATATCAGGGTGAAACTGTATGTAAATGGTAAAATGTCAACGTCTTTAACATGTCAAAGAAAATTTACGTGTGCATCAAGTCAACTTCCTTTTATACTCTCATGCATGTTTTAGATCATGTTGTACTTAGCGATCATGTTTTCAGGGAATGACCTGTATGATTCGGCTGTGAAATTCCGGATACCCGATCTTCCGGCTTTTGCATTGGAGTGCTTGCCTAATCGTAACTCATTGATTATGGTGATCTTTACGGGATCAGACATGAAGCATCAACCATATCCGAGGAACACTTCGCTACGAAGGCATGGAAAGCCCCTCTTTTCTAATCTTATTCTGTTTAAACTTCGATGCCAGAAACTTGAATCTTAATATCTCATATCTTGGACAGGTTTCAGTGAGATAATGGCCACACTTGCAAGAATAGGTCTATTCAATGCTGAAACTCTTCCACTTCTTCAACAAGAAAGTCGACCCACATTTAGAAATTTCCTCTGTGAACTTTTGCAAATCGATACCAAAGACATGGATGAAACTTCAGTTGGGGAAAAATGATAACCGAAAGGATCATAGAACTCGGACATTGTAAGGAGCGAGGAGTTGCAGTAAGGTTGCCAAAACTATCGGTAAGCCAGTTTACAGTCTAATAACAATTACCTGTTGTTTTGACATAGCAATCAAAAGTTGCAGGCTATAACTCCCTCTTTCAGGTTTTTGGGACTAAAGGATCAGACAGAAATCCCTGTTTCGTGCCAAAGTGCATTCGCCGTAATATGTCATCGCATGGAAGAAAGGCTTACATATTCTGATACAGAACAGGTATATAAAGTTACTTGTAAATGAAGGAAAACTAATTTGATGAAAAAGGTAAGATTAAGTTTTTCACTAGCTGTTTGATTGAATGCTCAGGACATGGTTTTGTTGCACCACGAGGTCGAAGTAGAATTCCCCGGTAGCAAACAGACCGAGCATCATACGGGGACACTACTGGAATTTGGGAAGGCTAAGAATGGAAAAACGATTTCTGCAATGGCCCTTACTGTTGGTGTTCCAGTAGCAATTGGAGCTATGGTATTTTTACTTCTTCCTCTTATACATGAATCATTTACGATAGAAAGTGCTACCAATTTAATCGTTTGCAACTCTGATGGTTTCAGCTTTTACTTGTAAATAAGATCAAAACACGAGGTGTTGAGGCCTATTGTTCCTGAAGTTTATATACCTGGTAATTTTCACCATACAAACTGCATTTTCTTACTTTGATTCATTACGTTGGATATATTACGCTTAACTAATATGATTTGTTGCAGCTTTGGATATTGTTCAAGCCTATGGTATCAAACTGATGGAGAAAGCAGAGTGACCATCATCTCTCATAATATCTTGGGGAGAGTAGATAAATGGTTTTATATATAATGTGAATATTCTTGTTCAATTCATACAAATATTTTTATCATCTCAAATGACGACTATATGAGTCATGTAAAATGGGTATATACTAGTATTGATGTATAAGCATATAAATAAAATGATAAAGGGACATAAGCATACTTTAATGCTATGCTTGCTAGTACATGTGAAGTAATGATGGGAGTAACCTTTGCTGCTTCAGTGAATCATGGAGTAACCTTCAAGCTTTATGAATTTATATTTACATGAAAGTTCTAAGGGCATTCTGCATCATGCAAGTCAATAAGAAATATAAGAAATGCATTATTTCACTCACATTCCTTCAGTTTTGCCTTCCATGTTAACCAGTACAACCATGTCCCCATCTTTGGCTGGTCTCCTTACAGTTGATTCGCCCCCGAGCAAAATAATAAGCTTGATTTTTCGGCCCTATCGAATGTTTTAGGGTTATGAGAAACAGTTCACAAGACTATGGTGTAGGATCCTGACCATAGAGACCATCTTAGAGGATAGAAGAACTAAGGATCCACGACGCTATTTGTCATTCCACTTCTTCCCAGTTATGTACTTGGTCACCAAAGGGTGTTCCTCCACTGATTGTCTTACACCATGGATACGAGTTCTTGTAATCAAACAGCAGAACTCTGATGCCAATGAGCACACTCAAGAGCATATCTCGGGTTATCGTCAATTAGAATTTTGGCTCCTAATGACCTGCAAGAAGAATTAATTCAGCAAGAAAAAGAAATCAGAAAAAACTTCTCAGGGAATGAATAAACTCATCAAGACACCTATCGCGAAGAGATGCTGGTATACTTGCATTTATATAAATGATAGAGAAACAAGCATGCTTGAGATTATTAAAGGAATTCATGGATGAAAATAAATGTTAAGGGATCATGTGCATACAGGCATTTCTGATTTAGGTCTAACTTGCCGTCAAGAGCAAAATGGTTGCCAAAGTGAATCTCTGGAAAAGTCCAGGATAGTGCTTCTCTAACCACTCAATTGTATGGCCTTAATACATTCTGCCGAGACCTACTCATAAATTTATGAAAGACCAGCTTATGCGCAGAGGTCAAAGACAAATGCATTATTAAAGAAGATGGTATGCATACATACGTTACAACCGAAAGGCTACAGAATCTGATAACTTGTGAAGGGTCATCTGAGCACCTGGGAGGGGGTGGATACCTTTCTTGAAATACGGTGTATTGAAGAACTCGTGAACACGGATATTGGCTGTCAAAACAAGAAACCAGGGCATGTTCTGAAATAGTCCTTAGACAAAGCAAACTCAACAAAAGTTAAAGGATTGAATGTTTTTTCAGAAAAGTTTATTAAACAAAAAAAATACATGCAAATGCAGAAACATTAGCAAGTTCGCAAAAGTTTACAACTGATGTATGAGGTTAATCAGATACTATTCCTTTTTTTACCGGATGAAAGAAGAAATTCCTCAAATCACTTCCTAACATGGATCTACTTAGCCTGTTTACTTAAAGTTGCAATAAACCACAAAGGACTACACCTAGGTTGAGAGCCTTCAACTTTCATCCAAAATTAAAGTCTAAATCAGCGCAATTTATACAAGGAATTTGATGAATTTCATATAGTAGTAGCAGCAGCATCTTACTGCATGCCTTTTTGTCACATTAATTTAAATACATATGCATCAACATCAACATCAACAGAGGAGTTAACAAGTATGTTACAGATACCTTCTCACGAGAACAATTCCATATCTGTAATAAAATAAACAAGGAATTACAAAATTTATTGAACAAACATAAATCAATATCAAAACAACAGCTGACTATCTAAAACAGAAATACAGGACAAAAGTAAAACTACTAAACCAAAGACCACATGTCCCCGACTGCATGGTAAAACAATCATGTTACTGCAACTCGAACATGGAAGCAATTTTATCTCGGAAATTTCAAACAGAATGAGACAATTACCAACAAAACTTGTAATACAAATGGCAAGAAGCATTCACATATAAACCATTCGAACACAAAATGATAGTACAAAGACTGGACTTACAGTTAAAACCCATTAAAGCCTTTGTCTGTGCCTACAACCATTTCATAGATCTCCATGACATTAAAATCAGCCTTTTGGGATGAAGAGTCAGTTTTTTTTCTTATTTCCTCTTTGGAATTCGCTTTTTAACATTAAGGTGTCTTTTCGTTCTTTTCCAACTTCATTCTACTACTATTCACAGAAAAAGTAAATAAATTGTGAAAAAAGAAGTCTAACCCTGAAAAACTCGTACACATGGTACTCTGAAACTGAATGATTCAACGAATACCGATCCGCTATAAATCTATTCAAAGCCGACACAAAGTTTCCTAGTACTGTTATACCAAAGAGCCAAGAAAAATAATTAATAAGTGCGTTAGAAATACATACTCTTTCTCACCAAAAAAAGGAAGTGTTGGCAGGAAAAAAATTGCACCTTCATCGACATCGACAGCACCACAATTTTCTCCGGCAACGGTTTGTCGGGAAAATCAATAGTCCCCCTCTGAAACGATCCGTAAGAATCAGCCGCCGTCTTTCCATTTTTTGGGGTTCATTTGAAAATTTCCAATTCGCGCGCCAATTGGGAAGCAAAGACGACTGCTTTCTGATCCCAGTTTCTAGGGGAACTCTCGAAACAACTCTTGAAACTCAAATTTAACCTTAAACCGCCGCTGCCGCAGCCGCAGACATTGTAATTTGTTAGTTTTTTTTTTTTTTAAAAAAAAAATTGGCCAAATCTAACATTGGAAATGAACAAAGGATGAAAAATTCTTAGCCTATAAATAGAACATTTTCCTTTGATTAAATGTATGTCAATCACCAAAATACAAGTGGTGTAATAGAAGCTATTAGCTATACTAGTAGAGAATTAAAGGGAAATTCTTTTGGATGTACTTTAGCTTTTGGGCATGTGAGAGTTAAATATTTTGTAGTGTGGTTGTAATAATTTTTCACATAGTAAATATTTTTTCTCTTGGTTGTCTTTTGACAACACTTGTGGTTTTTCTCCATTTGGGAGTTTTCCACGTTAAATTATTATGTTTTCTCTCTTTTATTTTTCAAGTATTTTTGTTAATGTTGTGATCTAAAAAGATTGTTGGATTACAAGGGGTCTATTTTCCCAACAATTGGTATCGGAGTCAATGGTTTGGTAAAGATAAATTTCAAGGCGGGGTAAGAATTTCTTTAAAATTCTTAGTATGCTCTGTGGTTGCGGCTTTGTCCGATCTTCTACATCAGAAAAGATTTTTTAGAAATTGTTGTGGTCCAACTGGAGGTCTTTTAAATACGTTATTGTGTTTATTGAGTGTGATATTGTGTAAGTAAGTGCAGCCAAGAAAGTTTTGTCACAAAGGCTATAATCGCCTAAGGAGGTTGGGACTTAAGCGGTACCATTTGTGTCCCCCAATCTTCCTGGAAACTTTCTTAGTGCATTTTGTAGACACAATTATTCACTCATTATTCACGTGTGAGATCACTGGAGCATTGTTGAGCAAAAATGAGTTTCAGATTTGATATTGAGAAATTTGATGGGAGAATTAATTTTGGGTTGTGGCAAGTACAAGTCAATGATAATTAATTCAGTCTAGATTGTATAAGGCCTTAAAGGGAAAGCCCGCTTTTTGTCCGAAGAAAGGAACCAGATAAACCTAGTGACAGCAGTAGAGACAAGGGAAAATCCAAGATGAGTGAAGAAGAATGGAGGAGTTAGACATGAGAGCGCAAGTCAGATTCGTCTCTGTCTAGCAAAAAATGTTCTGCTAATGTTGCTAGATGGTCATCAACAAATGAGCTTTGGGAAAAGCTTGAGGAAATGTACCAAGCTAAAAGTCTTTCAAATAGGTTAATTTAAAGGGGAAATTTCACAAATTGCAAATGGAAGAAGGTACAAAATTTCTGACCACCTTAGCACTCAATGGGATTGTTTCTGAACTGGAATCTATTGGAGTGGAGATTGTGATGAAGATAAAGCATTGAGACTTATTTGGTCTCTTCCATCTTCCTATGAGCACATGCAACCGTTTTAATGTACGGGAAAGAGAATGTGAATTTTCAGAAGTGACAAGTAAGCTGATTTCGGAAGAAAGAAGGCTGAAAAATAGAGAGAACAAATCTTCTGAAAGTGGAGCATTGTCGGTTTGTGGAAATAGGAAGAAGTATAAAGCTCCAAAAGAAATTATCTGCTGGGGATGTGGGCAACCAGGACATCTAAAGAAGGATTGCAAAAACGGTAGAGCTAATTCGACTAATGGCTCAAAAGTGATGCTACTAATGTAGTCGTCTTTGAAAATGAAGACGATGAAATTATTTTTAAAGTAAGATATATCCTCATGGCATGATAGCTACCAATTGAGTTGCCATGGAAAAGGAGTATGAAAAGGTAGCATGTCCACATTACACATGGGCATTAGTTGACAGTTGATGCAAGGTGTGTGGTGGAATGTCGATGGCTAATGAACTTCCTAGAAAGTCAATATTGGAAGTTGCACCATAACTTATTAGCAGTTTTTCGACATGAACTGGTCGAGGTAAAAATTCTTGGAGTTAGTGAATTCCAGTGTGCATACTCTTATGGTGGAGTATGACAATTCTTGTTTTTAGAATTGGACTATCATAGCTGATGGTGTTATTGAGGTAGCTGTTGTTTTATGTGAAGAATTATATGAAATTTTTGTCAAGGTGGAGATTTGTTAATTTTTTGGCAAAAATTGGCCAAATCCCACATTGGAAATGAACAAAGGATGGAAAAATCTTAGCCTATAAATAAAACATTTCCCTTTGGTTAAATGCATGTCAATCACCAAAATACAGTGGTGTAATAGAAAGCTATTAGCTATACTAGAGAATTTAAAGGGAAATTCTCTTTGGGTGTACTTTAGCTTTTGGGCATGTGTGAGAGTTAAATATTTGTAGTGTGGTTGTAATAATTTTCCACATAGTAAATATTTTTCTCTGGTGTCTTTTGACAACGCTTGTGGTTTTTCTCCATTTGGGAGTTTTCCACGTTAAATTATTGTGTTTTCTCTCTTTTATTTTTCAAGTATTTTTGTTAATGTTGTGATCTAAAAGAATTATTGGATTACAAGGGATCTATTTTCCCAACATAATTTTCGAAAACGGATCGTTACGAGCCAAAAACGCCATGCTCTTACGATTACAGTCAGAGATTTGATGAATAACAATAGAACACTGCCACTTGCTTCTTTACATAACGAGGGACTTCACATTCCAGCTTTCCCACCAATGGAGACAAAGCAAATAATGATTTGCAGCAAAAAAATAATAAAGAAAGAAAAAGAAATTTGATTAAAATCTATTAACTAATACGTAGTACTATAAAATCAGAAAAGAAGAACCCCAGAAAAAAAGTAGCTTATTAGAAATGTATTGGGTTTTTAATTTTTGGTAAAATAATATTTAAAATATCATTTTACCAATTTTTCTATTGGAAAGTAGGTAGTGAAATTAATATTTTTAGTAAAAAATATATTTTGTAGTGTTTTTGAAAATATTAAAAAATTATAATAATTACGGCAATTTTTTTAATCGTATATTAAACTATCGTAAGACATAAGATAAGGTAAGAAAAACAAAATCATCCCGAATGATTTATTAATAATAATAAGTACGTCGCAAATAATTAATTAAAAAATTGAATGAAATTTCTTTTGGAATTTAAGTGGTTTAAAATTAAAGGAATTTGAAGAATATGTTGAATTTAGGAGGAAAATCTGAGGGATTTCATAAAAGGATGTTTAGATTATAATATTAGAATAAACTAAACAGATAATTATTACTTTTAAAACTTTAAATTTGAGTACTATATTTATATAAAAATTGAATGTTTATTATTAGATATTTAAAAACCTTTCAAATAAATATTATTTCAACGTCTCAGATTAATAAAAAATTATTATAATATTATAAGACTCGTGATTCGGAGAAATTGGAAGCTCCTTTGTATTTTTCCCCTTTTTGTAGGTATTTACTGAAATATCACCATGACAGTAATAATTACTTTTCAGATACAATTTCTCTTAATTTTATTGATCTACCACCTTTCATAACAAGGCTCAGATCATCATCCGCACTTTCACGAGATTTTATTTGAGTTGATGCCACGTAAACAAAGGCACAGATCGTCATTCACGTCTTAGCTCAACTTCTAACATATTCTGACAAGACGCAAATCGTCATTCGCGACTTAGTATTTTAAAAAAATATGATTTAAAAAATTAAAAAAATAAAATTATAGGGACTAACATTACAATTTAATACATATTAGTTCCATGAGTTGAAGATCTTAATGGGATTAGCTTATATATGCGTATTGAAGTGTTTAGGTTATGTTTTCATGAGTTACATTCGATCGTTTTCATTACATTTTTATTTCAATTATATACGTATAAATATATAAGAAGTTGATAAATTATTATTTGTTCAAATTTTAAATTACCTTAAATAAAAAAAATCCCTTGATACACACCTTTGTAGGCTCACTAGAGTAACCCCAATCTGGAGAAATTTCCCGAATTGTGAATTTCTGCTTCTGTGCAATAGTCAAGCTTGAATATGGTGCAATAGGAAAACCTATTTCTTCTTGTCTGAACAACATAGTATAATAGTCAGACTTGGTGTCAATATCTTCTATTCCTGAAGAATATGAAGGAATTTCACCATTTCCAACTTCCGGATGCTGCATCACAGGCTGGCAGAGAAAGAGATAAAATGTGATAAAATTAAAATAGATACTAATATTTCTAGAGTCAAATACTTATCAAGATAGAAGATCATACAGTTTCAAAGTTAGATCCATTAAAATTCAGCAAACCATATGTTCCTGCTGCTGGGTTGGTCTCATCCTTGAAGAAGATAGTGGCTTTCCCTGTTTAAAAGACGAAAAAGCTCTACATATAGCAAGAAATAATAATACCAGCAACAAAAACACATGTTTAGTCCAAAGTTAACCTAAAGGGCGAACTTTGGTTAACTGGGCAGCACACATAGTTAAGAATGGGAGTAATCCAAGTTCACAACCAAAAAATTGAACAAATAATAATTTATCAACTTCTTATTATATTTATATATAATTGAAATAAAAATGTAATGAAAACAATCGAAGGCAACTCATAAAACATAACCTAAAAACATTGTCAAAATATATCTTTTAACTTTTACCTCACATTATCAAGAAACATAACCTAAACACTTCAATACGCCTATATAAGCTAATCCCATTAAGATCTTCAACTCATGGAACATATATATTAAATTGTGATGTTAGTCCATATAATTTTATTTTTAAGCTAAGGTGCGAATGACGATCTGTGCCTTGTCAGAATATGTCAGAGGTTCATCTAAGGCGCAGACGACAATTCACACCTTCCCTTACGTGGCACCAGCTCGGATAAAACCCCGTGAAAACGTGAAAGGTGATCTGTGCCATGTCAGAAAGGGTGCTAGATTGGTAAAATTAAGAGAAATAGTGTATGATAAGTAATTATTACTTGTCAGGGTGATTTTCAAAAATCACCCCCTTTTGTAACCATCGAAACAAAATAATAATAATAAGGATAAAATATACGAAAAATTATTGAATTACATTTATTGTATTTGGTTTTGTTGAGTATTTCGATTATTAAAATATACAAATAATCAATTAATT